CTGCCAGTCGACCCGACAACCGAAAGCACTTCGGCAGAGGTGGGACATAGTGCTTTAATTTGCTTCACACTGACGTTCCATGGGCAGTGCTATTCCGACAGGTACAACTACACGAAACGAAGTGCCGGAGGCTTCTGAGCGTCACGCGAGCACTGAGCAAGAACAGAATGCTAACATGTGAGCGAAAGATAGCGAAAGTCAGGATGCGATTCCTTAGTCTGCCGCTTGGCTGCTTGCCAGGTTTAGCCACCGGAGCACTGATTACTCAAACCAGCAGTAGAGGGACACCGATGGCGCCGATGGCACAGGCACCGACCATGGGCACATGCTTGAGATCGCTGAAATGGTGCAGTTCATATGGCTGAATATGTTCTGTGCAATATTGAAGCTACAGGTTGAGAGCAGCAGCAGTAGGAATGAGCTAGCATGCTCCCTGAATATATACGAATAGGATAAGCATCAACTGAAAAGCAATAATGAAGTCCAAGTGTGCTCGCTGTTTTGCCAATCGTCCGGTGACAAACGCGTTTCGCTGAAGTCTCCATCTTGGCAAACATCTGCAAGATGTATGCAGTAGGACCAGAACAACAGTAGCAAGCACGGTAAGTATCTACCGACGGTCATCACGCATGTTGGAGATTGGCATTACGAAAAAATGGATCGATTTTCCACACGCCCTGGGGTGAGAATGGACATCGTCTACATCGTGTAGAAGTATCCCATGTGCCTGGACTTTCTGCTAGGACAGTGGTCATGTCTCAATGCGGACGCGATACATCCGAAGATTGTGAAATTTCAAAAATGTGGCGGGGGGCTGGGGGCGGGAGGTGTTTATACACTCAGTAGTAGGATCCGGGTCCCTCGGCCCATGTCAATGTGTTTGAGGATGTGTCAGCCTCCGCTTATCTCCGCTTCCTTTGCAATGCCGCACCTCGTTGAAGACTTTCTCTGCCAGCTTCTCCCCAAGCATCTGCAGCGCAAGGTTCTGAGCCGCTTCAGAATAGCCTTCCACACATGAGAGGCTTTACAGGACTACTTCTGGTTTTAGAAATGCCGGGACATGGAGGCATGAGGCGTGACTGCCTTGCCTGAGAAAGCAGAGTTGACGCCCATGTTCGTGATGTGAACATCCGAACGCGTGCTGTCTTCGCTCGCTTCACTGTATGTGGTGGTGGCCATCAGCATCCGAACATCGGAGTGCACATGGGCCGTCCTCGGGAAGGAGATGGAAGGAGTATCGGTGGAATGCCGGCAGAAAGAGCCCCGTGCCAAAAGTCACACTTCATCACTTGCGCTGGCATTCTTAATTTGTGTCGCAGGTTCAAGTCCCCGATGCAAAGCAAGAGAGCTCTCAAGTGGAACTTGCGACCATCGTGCAAGTAGGGATCGATGCTCCTTCCAACGGAAACGGAGCAAAGTGGCATCTTCAGCAGCTGGACATGGATGGAGCGAAACGTAACATTGCTCCGCCAGGACAGGACTGGGAAGGGCCAACACCGCAAACAGCCCGGCCGCCTTTGCAGCACCCAAACCTGTGCAGGAACAGAAATCTACACCATCACCATTACCATATCTAACATGTTTCCCGCAGGCTTCCGTCGATGTCTTCGCTTGAGGCTTCATGGTTGTGCCTGCAGCTTCTCGTCTACGGGCGCGTGCTGTAGGAGCTCATGTGTCTTCCAGGAAGACAAATCTTGCCCAAGCCGGCGTTGCCTGCAAACTGACATGTCTGCACAGCATGGCACAGTCCGCGAGCGATGAAGCTCTGCAGATCTTTGTCATGCATGCTTGTTCTGGGCCGATGGATGCATACTGCCTGAGGGTGCAGACCACCGCAATCCAAAGGCCGCTTAGCAGCAGGACTGCCTTGGCCCATGCGCCTGCAGGAGTCAGCGCGCTTGCAAATTGCAAATGATTGGATCGCTCCTGCATGTCACAGCTTTGAAGTTGCATGCATTCGCTACTGGGCCTGACGACCGTTTTCGATGAAAAAGCGCAGAGCCCACGAAGCAAAGCAGGGCTGCAGAAGCTACCCGCGCCACATGCCTAAGTTGAGCTTGCAGGGGATTCAATGCATATCAACAGCTCTGAAGAGGATGCTGTACATCTGAGCCGGGTACACGAAACTACCTGGAACGTGCATGACTTGCAGAAGAGCAAGTGCATCACTTTCTGTGAGGAAGCGGATGCCATGGGCGTTCGACGAGTGTGCCTGCATTCACGCCCACAAGCCCCACAACTTTAAGTCGTTGTGCACGCTTTGTGAACAAAATGTCTGCCTGATGTGATGCTCATTTCACAGCCAAGGACATACAGTTGCACCAATACGAGTAATTTCCACGGTCAACTAGAAACTTCGTCGACGGCAATATATGCAAGAGTGCATGCGCCTGTATATCAGTTTCTCGGCTCGGCGCTTTTCAGCACGGCGCACTCTGCAAATGCACTGTCGTGCTGCGCTATCCCGACCAACAGGTCAAGTCGAGAAGGCTGCGGATCTTAGTTGATTCCGGTTGGGTCCCGGCCTTCTTCAGCACGTAGCGTACCTCCTTCGTCTCAGGCTGCTTTCCACAGCCCAAAGCTCGAAGACCAGCTTGCAGCTCTTGGAAAGTCTTCACAATGGCAGATGGCCTCCGAGCAGTGTGTCGTGGCTTGAAAGGCATGACGTGCTTCTCACCTGCATGGCTCAGCTGCATGAAGCCAAGTTGCGGATGACATCCGGCAGGCACAAAGCCAATCAGCTTGTCTTTGCGGACAAGGCCACTTCGAACAAAGTACCGTCCGGCTGACTGCCGGCCTGCAAGCACCTCCTGGGCCACACAAGAATTGTGAACTGACATGGCAGCATACAGCCCAGCTTCATGTCTAAAGCTCCGTGGCCAATGACAAGTGCGAGCAGCTTCATAATGCAGAACCCAGCTGGCACTGACAGAACTTGAAGCTGAAAGCACAGCCTAAACACATCAGTCGGATGCCTCCCAATCGTAGCTATGCCATGCGCGAACGCTTGACCCATGGTCACTTGCCGCTGCAGGATCAGCCATGCAGGTCATGTAGAACTGCAAGTCAGTACGTGCTGGGCCTGAATATGCGTGCATTGTACAGCTATATCGCCGGCGATCTTTGCATCTCAACAGCTCTGTAATACTGCATGCTGCTGGGCACACCGCCGCTTGAACTGTGTGTAGCTGTCGCGTTGCACAAAGGGAGCCATGCTGCACAGTCACAACCGGCGGTGAGAACCTGGGAGGCTGGCTTGGGCGTCCTTTGGTTTACCGACCTCCTCGAGCAGGGAAAGAAGCATATGAAGCATCATATGATGGCTTAATCAGGAGTGCCGCTCGTCCTCCCAAAACGGCGTCTCGCCCTCTGCCAGCTCTTGACGACGTCTGCGTGCGCATGCTGCACCTTGCTTGTGAACGACTGTGGCACTTGCTGTCATAGCACAATGCTAAAAGTAGATTCGGCTTCTCGGTGTTTTGCTCTTACTTCTGCTCGCGCCCTTGCTACTGTCAGCTGCCGACTTCATCGCCGGTGGAAGTTCTTTCTGCGGCAGGATGAATGAATGCAAGATGCACGGCTACGAGCATGCTTCCTCAAGCTCTTACCAGTATCTCGGTGTAACTTGCGTTGGATTGCGATGGCGTTCTTGCAGCTCCGGCTGTGGCGCGGGGCGCATCTTGGATCAAACTCGTGTCTCGCACTTGCCGTGACCGCCGAATTCACGGCAAGGACCTGTACTTGGACGCTCGCTAACTTGATGGATCGGGCTCCCATCAGAGGGTCGTGCTGTGAATGCAGGCCTTTTCCGGATGAACTTCGTCTGCCAGCCACAGATCTAGCAGTGCCAAGCCATGAGACTCCTCGTGCCGCACACAATGTCGTGCGCATTGTGAGGCGCGCATCGTCTTCCCGCCACAGTGTCGTTCCCGCCACAGTGTAGTGTGTTTTCCCCAATCGTGCTGTGTCATCCCGTGGGGTGCGCATTGGGGACTCGCTCAAGGCATGGTCTTGGGGGCTACACGCGGCGAAGTCCGGGAGGTGTTTACACTGACATATCTGCAATGCATACTTGCCAAGTTCGGAAAACAATACATTAGCTTCTGAAGCCAATGCAGTGATTCGCTAGAGATAAAGGGCAATAGCTTCTGGTAGCACCAACAGAGGGAAGGCCAACCAAAGCCACTTCGCGAGTGACTGCAACTGCATGCCACAGGTATCCAGATTCGTCAATGAGCCAAGGTGCATGCAAACTTGTCGCTGTGCCACATGTCGCTGTCCCGAGGGTCAGTGAAGTCGAGCATCTTTACATCTTTCGGTCTGTTGGAGTTGTGCACTTGGGGTGCCTTCTACGAGCTGAAAACAAATCAAAGGAATAACGTCACCAGCGGTGACACATGCTTTCGACCTTCTCAAAGCGGACCCCAACGGGCGGGACCTGGAGATGTGTCAGGGGCAATGTCGGAACACTTGCCGATGCTTCAAACTTGGTCAACACTCCATTCCGAATGTGAGCACTTCCACAGCCTACTGGATCTGCAAAGACTTGGCACTGACGACTTGACGGCTGTACATCGACGATCTCTTGTGACTCTTGATTCAGAATGCTTTTCAAACTGCTGAGTCCAGCACCCATCTTGGGAATGGAGCTTTGCGTTGACGGTAGACTTAAGTGAAGCTGCTCCGCGGTTAGTTAACGTGTGCCAACCTTCCCTGATTGTACTCCCTGCTAGGCCATGTCGTGCTATGTTGAGCATCGGAGTCTCCAAAGGCATAAGATTGGCTGGCCACGCTGCTGTTGACGCTGTTTCTCTGTGGTGCCACCCTTGAATACAAACAGCTGATGGCAAATCTACGAAACTAAGCATCATGTGGATGGGCATGGGAACAATGCAACTGCATAGTCAGCAGCCCTCTCGTACACACAGGCTGCAGCTTGTGCGTGGCAGAAAAGCTCCAATTGAAACCATGAACAATTGCGACCAAGATTTCAATGACTTTCAGTACTGTGTCGTGTCGCTTGGCGCTTCATCCTGCAAGCCTTGTGCGCAAGTTTCGTCGAAGCCTGCGGGGTCGCTCTGCGAAGCATGGACAGCTCGTTGAAAAGCCACGCTCATGCGGCACCTCCTGAGTGAGTGCTTCAGATTAACACTCAGCAATGCAAACACGACATGACCTTATCGAAGCAGTGCTTGTCCGCAGGTGCGCATGGTGTCCTGCCCCGGGCTTGACGAAGACGCCGATGGTCGAACCGTCCTGGATGAAGGAAGGAGAACCCATCCTGTGCGTGGTGGCATCTCACCCTGAATAGGCCCCGAGCAGGAAGTGGATTGCCGCAGATAGTTTGTATGGCTAGGAGTGCATCCTCTGCCATACCTTCGGGGTTTTCAGCAATTCTGGACGCGAAACTGCTCGTCACAGCCCGTCGAAAGCGTGAATGATTTCTCGTCTTTGAGACCCTGGCCGAACTTCACATAGGCCGTGCCAGTGCATGAGCCGCTCGTGTCGTCCTTGACAAGCTGTACGCTTTGAATGGCACCTGGGCATGCAATGAGCGGCAGCGTACCACCACAACGACAGCTGGCCAAGCCAGCTGTTCCATTTGTGCAAGTCATATGAAGCAGGAGCCAGCAACCTTCTGGGGCCGTAGCCGAAAGGAGCGAACACCTCTTGGCCAGGAGGGGAGCTAAGAACAGCAGCAAGGATGCCGCAAGGACAAGCCTGGTCTCGTAACTGCTGCCGAGGAGCGTAATACAAATAAAGCTCATCAATGTCAGGAGACAAGCCCTTGCAAACAGGGAAGAACTTTCATCCATCGTCGGCTTTTTAGCAAGATGCAGACAATGAGATAGGTGCCCGGCCCTGATGATCAAATAACCTCAGATGCGTTAGCCACTTCCAATGTAGAGTTTCATGCAAAGCATGTGGCCCAAAAGCAAGACTAAGTCATGTGTTTAATCTCCTCGGAGCCACTCGGGTCCGGCTGATCGCCCAGCTCAGTGACCTGGATGCTGGCTCGTGCATTGGCTTGCTCGTATAGATCGAGGAAAACGTGGGGTCGGGTGTCTAAAAGCCCGAGAAAGAGATCTTAGACGCAAACCGGCTTGTAGCCCTTCACTGAGGCGATGGTGTCACTGACCTCCAGGCTTCAACTCGGTGCATTCTCCAAGCTAAGGCTGTCGCAGGAGGTCTGGAACCCTTGGCACTGGCAAATTACGGAATTCTTGCAGCCTTGCAGCCCTGGGCCCTGATCATCCCAAATCTTGGACTGAGAACTGGGAGGCACGCCGCTTTCTGGAATTCCGGTGTGGCTGGGCCTCAGGCCCAAGGAGGCGACAGTAGCATCAACGAAGAGCTACTGTACTGCACTGCATCCCCCACTTAGACGCACCGAAGCACCGAGGTCTGAAGCATTCCTTTCGATTTGCTTACACGAGATCGAGGGCATTCAACACCAAGGCAGGGTTCGACGGCTTCGTTGAGGCTGTTGGCCAAGCGGACGACTGCCCAAAGGTACAGTGGAAGGTCTGGCTAACCCTGCGGCAGCGAAGCTGAGGCGGAGTCTCTTGGGCAGGGACGCAGCCTGTCACTTGAATCTTCTCGCACAGCTGTCTTCCGCAAATGGCGCTTCTCCCTTCTCAGATATTCGTCAACGCCTTTCGTTTGTTCGTACTCTGGTTTACTGGCCGTCAGGTAGTGCGACTTACAGTTCATCACTCCTAGGTCACAAAGACGTTCTGAACACAACCTCCCTTCGGCCTTCATGCCACCATGCGTCGTGAACCTAGCCCGGGCATCGCCGCAGAAAGCTGTACGTTGTGTAATAGCAATTGAAGCAATGGGCCTGGTTGCGAGCGGTCGAACTTGTGCCTCAAAGCTGCCATTAGGCACTTTGCGAGGCTGGGTGACATGTTTTTTCCGCACGCCACGCCACACCGCGCAAGGAGTTGGCAGCCCGAGCTGCGACTTGTCGGTTTGCAGCGTGTCTACACGGGAGTCACGGGAGCATCTCCCAGGCCACTAGGTGGCTTCAAGAGATGGCTTCTATGCTGCGTCTGATTGCTGGCACCCGCTGGCGTGAATGCTCCATGCAGGAAAGATTCACGCCTGCATTAAGGGCAGCAACACATGCAACCGGTAGCTTGCATCAAAGAGCTTGGCCAAACGTGTGATCTTGTAGTCATCGGGCTACTGTACTTATATCTCTCTTCATGCTGCCACTCTCTTTCTGAGGCCAACTGCCGGAAGAACTGAGCTTGGCTCTGTCGCAACACTGTTCCAACATCTCGGCATGGTTTCGTTGCTCCGGAGAGTCATGCAGGTGTCAGGACGCTCCTTGCAAGCTGGGTTGCCATGCCTTCGCATGTCTGTACACAAATGCCATCGCAATGCATCGGGGTCGAGCAAATATCATTGCGCACACACGATGCGAATTCTGTTCTTTACAAATTTCCTCGATCTATTCTGAGGTTCGGCATATTATATGACACATTTGTACAACAGCACGAGGTTTACCCGGCTCATGCAGCCTGAATAACACAGGCATGCCCAAAGGCCGTCAGGACGAAGCGAACACACTTGGCTTTCTCGAAATCCCTCGCAAGCACCTGCCATCAGCGATGCATGTGGGTCTAGCAGCGTCCCCTCGGTGCCTACGAATCCCGGCCGTACTGCATTACTGCTTAATTGGATTAGTGTTATCTGCATCGATAGTCTTTGTGCTGCGCAGAAAACCTAACTCTGCACGCGCTCCAACAAGCTTAAGGAAAAGACCCTGGAGCTCTGGAGGCACCAAAGTTCGTCTTGATTCCCATTAGCCATGCAGCCTGCAGCAGCCCCCTTCCCCCCGAGGCACATCACAACAAGCTTCGTGACTTGATCTTTGGCCTCAGATGCATGATGATACATGTCTTTGCCGAACTTCTGCGGTTTTCCGACTCTCGTCGCAGTGCTGCTCAGTGACAACGTACATCAGCGCTGCCTGCAGCACCCCCTTCCTGAGAACATCGCATAGCAAGGAAAGCACGAACCACACCAACTGGATAGGCATAGCTGGAATGCCTCCCTCGTGAGCGATGGCAATTTGCCAACAAAGGGTTCTCGCGACTAATTGTCATGAAGTCTTTACCTGTGTGTGCGCGGCCGTGTGCCTGCCTGCCTGGCTGGTTGTCTGTCTAGTCTGTGTCCACTTGCCGCGACCAAAAATCCTGAATTCACAAAGGCACATGAGAGTTGGCCAGAGTCCCCGATACAGCTCGAAAAACTGCTCGCTCGGTCGTGGCTTGACAGGCACCTGGCAAACAATCGGCAACAAACTGGCAAGATCACACCACATGGAGCTGCAATACGCCATGTCCATGTACGCACACAGTTTTACCTCTGCAACATGCCAAACGGTATGGCTTACTTCGATCGTGCTGGGACAGCAACGTCAGCAAGCTCAGCTTGAGCCGTGATGTCTGTACACGACTCACGATTTCATGGCACACGACTCACGATTTCATGGCAGGCCTTTTGGTTGAAGTGGAAGGAGAAGTTCCGTGGAAGGGCATCCAGGGTTGCATCGTTGTCGCAGTCGGCCTCGTCCACTGGCTTCGGACCAGCCTGGAACAGAGCCGACTCAACCGATACTTTCCGACTTCGGAAGACATGTGCGTGACCGGGCAAGAGTTGCAGGAGGCACCTTATCTTGTGAGTTTGCTTGATGCGAAGAGACTGGTGCTTGCAGAAAGAAACACTACACACAGACTCTCTCTCTTTCGCATTTTCCGCCCGTTCTCCATATCCATAGAATCTCAATGCTGCTCTTTGGCTATTCGGACCATGCTCCCGCCCCACAGGAGGTTTGTGGCATTCTCCTTGCTGTTTCCGAACAGAAATACCGGTACTGCGACCAGGCGTGCCGTGCCGCAGTGAGGGGTTCCCGCCTTGTTTTCAGTGCTGTCATCCTTTGAATCCCTGCGTGCGCAGTGCTAACTGTTTCTTGCAGAACGCCACGTAGTGGAACCATCGTGTCAACACTCTGTTTCTGTCCGTGGTATGAAATCTTCCTTCGCGAGAATTCTTTTCTTGAGCCTCGGACGTGATGACTCGGTCTTGGCTTTACAATACTTATGCATGTCTTCCAGGCTTCCGACAACTGACGTTTTGGGAAAGCTGGCTGCATGTGGCAGATCCTGATTTCGCTCCTGCACGGGCTTACTTGGACAAGAAGGGTCTGGGCAGCATGCCTGCAGCATGGTTTTCATGCGGGTGACCGGGAAGGTAATGATCGTGGCGATGGCCTGCGACAGTGCAAGCCCTGGCCCCGGGTTCCATTCCTGTCCGCTGCACTTCCTCCTCAAGGCTTCCTCCGCGCCTTCGCCAAAGCACCCAGCATGAACCTAAGGTTGCACTCACACGTGGACAGGGGACGCAGACTCTGGTGCTGCAAATTCCGCAGGAGCAGCTTTGCAATCAAGCCTCACTTCCAAGGACGTCAGCGACACTTTGGCTGACAAGCCCTGCAGCAACTTCCTCTGCATCATGGCTTCCTGCATCCTTAGACGTTGCCGCGCCATGCAGCATCGTGAAGCTAACTGCATCACGACAAGGGTGCTTTCCAGTCAAGGCTTCTCACTCAATTTGCCCAGGCTCTGGACAAACACCGTGTTCTGGATAGCAGGATTGCTGCACAATAGGAGGTTGAACCAGTATCCTGTAAAAAGACCAGCCAAGCCATCCTCGGCAGGCTAGATCAGGCCCGTGTAAGCTTCGTCTTTGACTCAAGAAACCAACGACACTCTATGTTGGTCGAAGATTCCTTGCTGACCACAAGCCGAAGCAAGCTCAGTGGCCCCCTGGCAGTTCCAACTTGAAGCTTCGTGGAGAGTACCTCCAGAGGGTTGATCGAAGTCATCGTCACGATGCCTGCCAGAAAGCCCATACCTGCTTCGAAGACGCATGTACAAACCTACCACGTAAGTATACCATCGTTGAAGCACTGTTCCCCGACCGGGCTGCACAAGCTCACACCATTGGTGATCTGAATCTGGCGTTCTGCGGCAAACTTCTTCAAGGCTTCGTACACGTAGAAAAACACGAAGTTCCTGGCTTTCCGTCAGAAGTGTGCGGAACATGTGCTGGCACTTCATATGTTCACCCCGTAAAAAATCAATTACTGCCAAGTCTCTCCGTGCCTTTCTCAAAGCATTTGACAGATACTCCGCTGAAAAGCCCTGGAAGTCCGTCCTTCTCGACGACTTGCCTGCCAAGAGCTAAGAGCTGCTTTTGAGAAACTACCTCCGAAGCACCTCCGCTTCATTCGGCTTTCAACAACATGCGGCGTTCTGCGCGCCTCATGGTGCCCAGGATCGTTGTCTCTCCCTTCTGGCTGACACTGATGCCTGTCAACTCCGGGTCTCGCGCATCTCTTCAGTTATTTTGACTTCCTGTGGCCTCTACAGGCACAGCTACTCAGTATACAGTTGGGAGATCACAGTAATGGCACTCAATTCTCATGCTGACAGAGTTGCTCGATGGTTCAGATGCGACCTATGTGACACCATTGAATGCCAAGCTGCGTGTCTTTGCTATCTCCACCGGCATGAGCATGGCGGCTGCAAACCTCCGCGAAAAATCGCATGCTGAGTCCAGCTTTTGTGTGAAGGTTTCGAGCCGATAGCTTGTCACTCTGCGCCAGGAAACATGCCGCCACCTGCGCCAGCCGACGCTGAGAGGAAAGCGTCGAAGGCACCTGCGACACATGAATGCTGTTGTCTGGGGCGACTTGTCTGTCAGGTGAGTCAGTGATTGACCGTCAGGGAGTTGTGATGGGTGGCCCGGTTCTACAGTCCTCGTTCATTCCGAGTCTCATACACACCCGCCGCAGCCAGGGAAGGAATTCAAGACCGGTGACCCTAAGTGATGAAGAATGACGAACTCCAATCCGAAAGTTTCTTTTGTTTGAGCAGGGGCTGCAGTGCAAAGCAAAAGCCTTAAACCGCTAAACCAGCATCAGAATATATCAGAATCCAACAAGGCTCACGCCGCGACCCACCACGAAAGATGTACAGAACCAAAAGAGTGCAACAATCAATCCTACCGTTTGTTACGTAGTTTGTGCACTCCGACCATTGGGGCAGTCCTTTAGAGGAGCAACCTAGGCTCCTGTCTGGTCTTGACACTGTGAGTAAATAAGAACAACCGAACTTTGGCCGCCCCTTTGCAGCGAAGAGCAGCCCCTTGGATTCATGCCGAGAGGATCAGGCCTGGCCTGATCCGGAAGATGCATGTGCCATGTGTGCTTGTACAGCCAATCCCTTTAAGCTGCACAAATTCTGTCCCGCATGCGTGTGACGCTTCCAGCTCTCTTGCAGTTGCAAGCGCTCACATGTACTAGTCTTGTTTGCCGAAAAGGCTGCGTGCGATCACATCTGGTGATGACACAATGGCACTGCCGGCTCTCCGAAGAGCCACCAGACAAGCAACTGGAACTGGGTGTCACGCTCCATTTGGAGGCCTTGGGCACAGAGCGGGCGCAGCTTACTGTGATGAATAGGCTTGAGGGCTCGTTCTCAAAAACGACAGTCGATGCCGCTTCTGGTGCCAGCTCACGACAAAGCAGGCACTCTAGTTTTCGTGCAGTTTCATCTTGACGTCCCACGCGCAGGAACTCCCTGAGTTGCCAACCCTGCAGGCAGGGGGTCGCCAAGTCTTGCAATAATACAATGAAGAGGCACGTCTCGGGTGGACGTTCCTTTGGGCGCACTCAGCCCGCGAAGGTGGCACCGTTGTAGCCCACATTCTGCCGCTCAAGGTCAAAGAAATTGACGTAGATCCGATTCGCCGGCACATCGAACTCCTTCAGCAGCTCCGATACTTTTTTGGTGAGCGCTCCATTATTCTCCTTGTTTATGGATCCCAACGAAATTACTTTGCACAGTGCGCACGGTGCATCGCTGCCGCCCCAGATGATGTCTTGGTCATCCTGTACCGAAACTGCAACATAGCTTTCCGGCTTGCCCAGCGACTCGGCCACGGCCTTGGAAGCTGCCTTCATGAAGTCCATCTTTTTGTCACCGAGCTTGACGTTCGTCTGGATGAAAAGGGAGGGATCAGTGGCACCATCCTCAATACAGCCAAAGGGAGCCCCCGCCACCGAAGCCATTCCAACTCTGCAGCTTCTCGTGACCATCAATGGCAGCACACAGGCAGCCAGGCATCCGCCTAGCAGGGCGCCGCTGATGCGTCCCCGGGCAAATGCGCCTGCAGTCAGAGCTCCTGCTGCCATTGCTGGCTGCGACACCATCTGATGCGATGTAACACCGGTAGTGACCGGGGAAAGCCAAGTGGGCTCGGTGCTCAACAGGCTTACCAGCAAGCACGCTGCACCCAGCAGCAGGAAACGAGCACCACAGCTGGACGACATCCTTCTCTGCGCGAGCATTGCCTGTCTCGGGTCAATGGCGCAACACCTGCAGCGGCACCGCTGCGAGAAAAAGTCCTGCTTGGCCGCTTGATCCGAAACATTCGTTGCTCAAGCACTAAGCCAGAAAGTTGGAACATTGCTATCCTCATGCCCAAGGTAAAAGTGTCGGGGATCCTGGCACTAATCATCCTAAATTCATGTTTCAACTTCCTGGGATTCATTATACAACTTGTAGCTCATCAACAACTTGAGGTCCTTGCTGTTGCGTGCGCCGTGACCATGCTGAGGCTCATGCGCAAAGAACACCGCCACGGGGGTTTCCAACGTATGGGGGATGTTTCCGTCCTGGCAACACACGGTTCGCTCGCCTCCCATCCTCTGACGCTCCTCACAGACTTGCAACTTGCATGTCACGAGAGGGGCCCAGGCAAGCTTGCCCACAATCCACTCCGCTTGCTCAACATTTTTCATCCTAGGCCAGCTGCAAGGGAGGTGCAGTGACCCAAGAGGGCAACGCGAAGATAGAGGCAGCTCAGGGCACGTCTTTATCTCAACTGACAGGAGCCCCTCGAACCTGCAGGCAACAGCAGAGAAAAATGCAAGCCGGTGGTGCCATGAGCTGCTGTCGTCACGGGAAGAAGCCGCAGTGCTGCCAGGACTAGTGCTCTGTGGCCCCGGCTGCTCCAAGATCCTCACTTGATAAACCTGTATAGTTTGGCCATGTCTGAAGTCCGGCTGACAGAGTGTCTATGCATGCCGCGTGCCTGCCCGTAATTGGTGAAGACCGTCTTTATGTTGTCTTCTGTCAGATTTGCAGACAGGCCCTGCCGCGCCACAAAGTACAGCACTTTCAGCATTGCATGCTCATAATGCCGTCGTTGCCTGCACCACCATCGTGTCAGAAGGAGGATATTTAGGCCAATCGTCTGGGTATCCTCCACCTGCAGGTGCCTTCGTCGGTTTTCACAGACCAGCCGACAGCCGACACGTCAAGGCTTGCAAGGGGTGCTCAGGTCAGGGCCATTCCTCCAGGGCCGCCATGGCCAGGACCGCCCAAAGGGCCTTCCTTGCCTTTGCCTTCAGCTATCAAACTATCAGAACTATCAGGTCTGAGGTACAGCAGTCACGGGGTGCAGGGCTCGTGCCGTGTCCTTTGGTGTTGTTGGCAAACCGGACCGTGAGCCTCGGACGGCGCGGACATGTCGGGACAGGTACGCTCTGAATGTCAAACCCTGTGCCTACAGTGTCGCCAGGAGCCCCACACGCACTGCCCAAGTTGGTAGTTGTTGGTGGCTTGTATCGCTTTGGAAGCCTCTTCAACACACGGTTCCATTCCCGTCCCGAAGCGTCTCTCCCTTTTGTGGAGCCTCCTCCGAAGTCGTGAAGTTCACAAAGCCATATCGAGTGCCATTTTTGGTCCTTGGCTCAAAGAGAGCAAGAGCCTATACACGTTCACTCTTTCATGCTTCCTGGGCCATGAGCTGATCTGACAGTTTTGTCGACGTGACCGCACCAAAGCGGGAAAAGAAGTCCCTGGCACGGCTGGGTTCGACAGCCCCACGCTCATGCACAGGATGCATGTCCTGCTTGAGCTACAGGCGGTTCGTGCTTTTTTCAAGTAAATAATAAATACGGCAGCACCTCAAAACATAGCTGTGCCTGAACTCTGGTTCAGTGCAGGCTTCAGGTATGCCCGCGACGTAAACCTGCATCGCTTGGTTCTCAGGCAAACGAATACAGCCGTCACAAGAGGCAAGCTTCCCCGAAACACAGACTTCTGAATCAATCTTTGTGCTGAGCTCCAAGCATTGCACTGGCCAGCCTGAGGTGCTTTGGCCAGTGCCCATGACAAAGAGTGCCAACCCTTCGGTTCAAGGCACTCTTCAGAACTCTCAGCCCTGCTCCACCGGTGGTACTGGTGGTCCCTGTCCCCCTGGGCTGGCTTTCGAGGGCAACGCTCGCAGCTGCCGCTTTAGCAACATATAAGGAAGTCGGAAGATATGCCCAAACCTGTCAGGCTCAGCTTGGTGCCTTTGCCGTGAGGTCCGGCATTTCCAGGGTAAGGTCCTTACCAAGGACACAGGAGTCATGCATGCTTACCAATTCCGGCCAGCGCCTCCAGCACTCACCCTGTATAAGGCGTTAGCCGGTGTTGGCGGGAGCGCCTCCACCACCTGATGCCCAGACTTCGGTCTGATGGGCCCCCGGCACTGCGGCTCTCCGACGGTAAACCGTGCCTTTGTAAGCCTCTAATGGCTCATTGCTCGTCAGGCGCAAGGTCAACGTGTTTCCGTCGATCCTGGTTGCTGGCAACTGGCTGAGAGGGGTAGCAGCTTTAGCAGTGCCACAGCGACACCCACTAACTGCCAAGAAGCTGGTAGCCAGTGAGACCATCGACGGCATATCTGGCCTACGAATGGATGCCGCCCTGCGAGTAACTTCAGTGTGTAGATCGACATGCGCTCGGAACCAGGCCATCTCCGGGCTCTGATACTTCCTGGGCCGTGCGGCATGGCAGAACATGACCACAGCGCTGCGCCGTGCACAACACAAGGCCCGGGCACGAAGCCATAGGTCGGAGCACCCCCTTTTCGTGGTATCACCTTTACGCCGACCCAGACAAAGAGGCCCCAACCCCAGCTCGAGGTGGGCCCCATCCTTGACCGACTCCACGGTGCCATATGCTGCGAACAGCTGCCTGCGAGTGCGCTTGCTTGCAGACATCACAGCACAACTGGCTGCCCGGGCGGTTGTGGAAAGCATTTGCCTCACGCTATCCTCATCCGCAGTATCGGGAAGGCCGGCAACATGGAGATTGCCTGAATGCTCTAGTTGCATAAGATCGCCCCAAACATACCTCTATCTCAAAGGTCCACGGCTACAGGTAGTCCTGCGACAACGCGCCCAAATTTACACCAGTAGCCACAGCGCCATTTTGTTTCTGAGGATGGAGCAGCTTACTGCCATGCAGCAAAACCTTCGCAAGATGGATTGCTTTGAACTGGACTCGCTCGTTTTTCCGGAAACAAGCTTCTTGTTTCTGCCTTGGTTCAACCCAATGTTTGTGTGCGGGATCGAGGCTCGAGGAGGCTGGCTATGAAAACATTTGAAACAGGTAGCCCCAGAAGTCGGACTCGAAAGAAGATCGGAGCGAAATGTGCCAAAATGACAACACGAAAGGCTTCTGAAGATGAAGATCATGGTCCAGCACGGAGGGCTGATAGTCTGAACGATTTGGTCTTGCACAGAGCAGCACTGGAAACTGGATCCTGGATGTCCTGGTCAGTATGGAATGGGGTACCATGATTCATGATGGCAGGGTGTCATTTTGGGATGTAGTGCATGGCATCCTTGCCACATTGTAGGGTGATAAATCTATACTCCCGGTAAATACGATGGTAGTGACCCCGTGACCGTGCAAGCCCAACTACTTGTAACTTGTCTTCGGCGTTGAAAGGACTGCAACAAAGGCTTGCTGGACCAAAGATATTTTGAACGACCACGCAGCGATGGTCACTACCGACAGATGGGGAATCATGGAGGTGAGGTGCAACTCAAAAAAAAATCTGTACACCCGTTGCAAAACCATCGCCGCAAAGCGACCGCGGCTTGCCCACGGCAGGGATCCGCATACCCTCTGAAGTTGAATTCACTGTACAAAGCAACGCTTGATGATGCCACTCAGCAACAGTAGGTAGGAGTTCCTTGGGCCAAACAGCAGGGCATCCGCGTGGATGTAATGATTCGGCGAGGCAGTAGGTATTGATGCTACATCACCGCTGTACATGTACATGTGTGCCAGTGTGCTTGACATGACGTTGCTGGCGCAGCGGCAGATTGTTGCACGCCCGACGGCCGTCAAACACGGGGCAGGTGGTAAATCCTCACACAAAGAGAACGTCTGCACCACATCTCACAGCCGTGGCCAATGCATGGAAATCTTGGGGGAGTTGTCACATTGCCGTCACGTGGAGATTGGGCCCCCTGCAGCAGCCTAGAAAATTCTTGACCCAAATTCCAAATAGCGGCCAGACATTTACAACGGGGCCCCTCGGCCGTTGGCTGCTTCAGCCCCTCATAGTGGAAGACAGGGCACGATCGAGTCTGCATCTTCCAGCGGTCTCTGTTTGCGAAGCGGTTCCTTCTTGAATCCATCCCTTGGTGACAGACAACTGACATCACATTGATGCATCAACATGGAAGGACCACGGACGCCGAGCCTTTGCGCCTCACCGCGGGAGGCAGCAGCTGCGCGAGAGCGCTGCAGCAGCAGCGCTGCGAAATTGGAGTCTGGCTTGGCCATGTCTGATGCCTGGGAGCTAGGTCGTCCAACAATTTTAATACATCGGCGGAACGAGCATTGCCGGCCTGCTTGAAGTTGGCTGGAGGGAGCCGATCTCGTGTCAAGGACAGTACGTCCAATGATGTTGCAAATGGAGAGTCCTCTCAGTTGAATGCAATTTGGAGCAAGCAACTCACTTTCTACACCTGTTCTTTCTTCATTTGCTTCAACGTGCTGGAAGTTTGGTCGACAGGCAACCTGCATGGTCTGTTGTGCTGTTTGGGGTGGTGGTGGTGGTGGTGGTGGTGGTGGTGGTGGTGGTGGTGCTCGCTGCACAATCATGAATCGGCTTCTGCGGCTTCTGCAAGTGGAGGAGCAGGCCACTGCTCTACCCAATAGCCCTGTCCTGTGGATCACAAGCTGTCTCGCCAGTAGGTTTCGATGGTACTGCAGGGCAAGGCACATCGCATAGGAACTGGCTGAGGCATCAACTGCTCAGGAGGTTACCCAGGCTCGCAAGAAGGTCGCAAGGTGTGCAACACATCATTCTCTCTTAGAGATGGCATGATCGGTGTTGGCTTTTTTAAGTCTCCACCTGAAGTCTGTTTTCGTGTTGCTTTCTGCGAGAAGCAGAAATAGAAGCCAGCTGGGCAGCCGACCTGCAGGTGCCGCTGCAACCGAGGCTTGTGAGGCCATCTGGCGCTGGCAGTTCTGATCTCCCTGAGCCAGCTCCACGGGCACTGGAATACTGGAGCTTGGTAGGCCTGGTAGACCGTCCTCCTCTTGCTTAGGTGGCACGGGAGTTAGATCGCTGAGGTATCGCAGGTCAGACAACTGCACTTGGGGCGTGGGTTGGCTGAACCACGGGGTCGGCAAACTCTCCAGGAAGGGAGCCGGATCTGGCACCGGTATCGATGCAGGTGATGCCGGCAGAGCGACTGGATCTTGTAATTCTATGAATGGAGGCAGCGAGTCTGGCACAGACTCCTCAATCTTCGCCACTGGAAGATCCCAGCAGAAGGGTGTTGGCTGGCTTTCTGGACGGTGTTGGCTCTCCGCGGGTGCCGTGGAATGTTCGCTGCTCTCCAGGAGCTGAGAACCTGAAACGAACCAATGGACTGCGAGTCTGCGAAGTGACGGCAAGCTTAAGAATTCAAGTTGCTCCACCAGGCCTTCTTCGGCATCCCCTTCACGCACCTCATGCTTGAAGATCTGCTGTTGAGCACGGTATACTCCGGCACTGGGAGCTGGTGGCTTGACCGCGGCAGCAACGGTCGTAGCATATCGTTCCACGTTCGGACTGCTGTCCCCACACGCCAGTCCACCTGGGCATTATCTGACAAACGGCAGGATTCGCTCACGACAGGTTTCTTTCGACATCTGTTGACGCTGCTCTCTGCCTGGATTCGGATTTCCGGAAACTTTGCGCTGGTCGCGGCCGGAGCATGTGATGATCCTTCCCTGGGAGCCTGCAAAGTGCCAGTGCAAACACAGTGAAGTTGCCCCCTCCAAATATCTTATTGCAGGCTTCCAGGAAACTGACTAACTAATCCGCCGAGGCCACAGGCCCAGGCGTCTTGGGGGTTACCTCAGGTTCCCTCCACCTAATCAGTCCGAAAGTTTGGAGACACCCTGTTTTTGCGTTGGTTTGCCGCCCCCTTGCCCGGCTTCCCTTCGTTTTACCTGATGGGGGGAGGCCTCCCCCGCCACCTCCCCCACCCCTCTGCCCTGCCCTCTGCCCCTCCCCCTCCCCCCTCCCCCCGCTCCCCCCAACTGAGAAGAGCTGAGAGGCCCTGACATGGTGTAAACGGCAACAATCACTGCCCCCTCGCCCTGCCGCTACAGAGCCGCGTAGCGTTAAAATTAATTTAACTAACTTTGTTGCGGTGCCCAGCCCCCAAATGGATGCATGCAGGCCTTCAGGAGGCGGACACTTCTGCCGAACGCCTGAAGCTGCGTTGGCTCGCCGATGTGCTTGGCAGCAGCAGCCGCAACAGCCAAAGAAGCCGTTGAATCCTCCCGCAACTATCACAAGCTGTCGAATATCCTTGCCGTGTGCTGCAGATGCGATATCATGCAGTCAGGCCTGAATCCGAATTCTCTGCTTGTCCACGTGGTGCTTCCAGGTCAGCGTCTGCCTGCCTCCAAAACGGGAACGGTCGCGAAAAGAATGCGCCGACCCCCAGCATTCGCTGCCTCGCTTGCGAGCCGGTCTCCGGCTGCGAAGCCGGTATAGCTTGCGAGCCCAGGCCCAGGCCCTGAGAGCGGATGCTCCGCACTTCCTTGTGTGGTAGAGAGGCCTGTGCATCGAGGGGCAAAGCATCTGCGAATCTTCGCAGCTCCGTGTCACCAAGGCCTGTGGGTCATCCAAGATGAGCTTGAGGTCTTTTGGCTGAAGAAATGCCTCGACAGCAAAACACGGCACAGAGACGCCTTTCCATCTTATCCCCCAGGCCTGGCCAGCCTGGCCAGCGCGGCTCTTGGAGTTAGAGCTCTGGAGTTTCCTTCTTCGAGGCTCCGCTTTTCAGTGCAGTAAAGAGGCTTGCTTTGACAGATGGCGGGATTTGCAGGAATTTATGCCCATGCTCCACTTGCTGGTTGGGGACGTTGGGGACTCATCTATGCGCGGCCGCTTCGCCGGATGAAGCGTTTCGGGCATGAGGTGCCTTGCAGCAGGGCAGGTCTTGCAAACGGATCTGCAAAGAACTGCAGCCAGGCACGCTCAAACCTCTCGCCGAGACTTGGCACTCCCTTCCATTGCGGCTTAGTGACGCTCGATGCCCCTGGCCAGAATCACACACGAACGCACATGAAACTTCATCTTGTATTTGGAAACACGAGTCAGTCTCACCTTGCATTGGGCTTGTGACTTGGACTGCCCGCGACTTGCGACGGCACGAGGATCTGATTCTTTCGCCTCGTGCACGGACTCCTTGGTGCCTCGAAGGATGCAAACCGTCAGTCGTTGCCGCCGCAAGAAGGCAATTTTTTGCAAGCCCTGTTCATGCCGGCGATGCCTTGGCTAAAGCTCTTTTGCAGAGGAGAGCTTGTGAGGACTCGTCCTCCAAGTTTTGCATAGCACCTTGATTGCATGGCATCGTCTCATCCGCCATACAGACAGCAAGAGGACGCACTGCAGACTCCTTGGACCCCTGCTGGTTCCTGAAGTCGCGGACCCGGTCCTGCCACTTAGCTATGGAAGCTCCCAGCTAGAAGCACAGATGAAGCTCAGAGCTGTCGTGTCCTTCGTCCAGCCTTGCTCAAACTTGACGTAGCATGATCTTGCAATGACCGCCTGAGCTTATGAAACCCGGGATGCAATGTGATGATTCCCGTGGCCGGTCTCAGCAGAAGGCTGATGAGCCCTGTGTAGAGATATGTCAAACAACCACGGGGCGTAGCTTGTGTCAGATTTTGATGCGACTGGCAATCATGCATTGGCGAAGTGACAGAACCGCAACAAACCCAAAAGAATAGAAGAGCTGGTGGTGGGCCGGTGGGCGTCCATTGAAGCGATGGCGAACCCAAAAAGCTGCGGATCCGACCCTTTTACCTGCAGCTTGGTTGCAGCTGCCGTTCGCGAGCCACCAGCAGCCGGTATTGTTGTCTGAAAATGGATGCTTTGCCCAGCTGCCTGCCAGCGAAAGCAGAAAGCTTTCTTGCCAGCTGCATATTTGACCTTGGCTGCTTGTAGATGCTCGCACTTCAAGTCGCGAGTTGCCGCTCAAAGTGGAAATCGGGATGAGTATCTTGAGCAGGAATAAGAGTAGCCGCAGGAAGTGTGGTGGCAGCGATAGCAGTAGTAGCTAGAGTAGCAGCATGTAGCAGCAGCAGCAGTAGTAGCAGTAGTAGGTCGGAGTCGGAGGAGGAGCCATAGCAGCAATAAAAGTAGCAATAGTAATTACTAGCAATACAAATCCTAACCACCGTTACTCGTACTGGTACCGTACCACGGCGGCGGCGGCTGCTGCTGCTACTTCTTAGTGCTGTTCCTATACTATCTCTAAGAGATAGTCTTGTCGTCTCGCGAGGTCCTCAAGAGCCTCGCTCAGCAGGGAAAGGTAAAAGGACTAGAGCATCAAAAGTGGGAGTGCTGCGTATGCTGAACATGTTTCGTGTCATTGTGCTGCTGGGCTGCACGTGAAGCGCATCTTTCTTACAACGCTTTCAGCGATGTACGTGGCATTTGTGTCTAGGCTTCGGAATCTATTCAGTTTTCGTTGAACTATCAGATGCTCCAACTCGCAGATGTATGATATATCAATGCCAATGCAACTCTTTCGCCTTAGATCCGACAGTGATAGGAGGTTCTTCTTTCTTCTCATTGTGTGTGCGTCTGTCAGTACTCTCTGATTCGTAGCGACGTGAAGTTTGAGACCTGCCAGGGCCGGGCTGCCACGCCGTGGGCCACATGGCGCTTTGGCGCATCCTCTGGAAGCAAGTCCTGCAGCGAAGTCATGGCAGTACGAGTAGCTAGGTGAAATATGGTGAAACCCATGTGCGAAGGAACGGCATCTGGAAGTTGATGCGACAGACCGATTGCACAATTCATTCCAACAGTTATAATCGTCCTCCAGTTGTGAGCTCGGCAGGTCTCTTTCGGCACTTCGCGAAGGTGCAAACTGCTGCAACGGAAGCCTGCCATAGTAAAGTACCCAACCTGAGCGAAATAGCCACACATGACCTCTTGCTCTCATTCCAAAGTCGCTCGTAGTCCCCAAGCTATCGCCGGCTGCTGCAATGATGCGATGTTGTGCTCTAGCTGTCGTGGTTGAAACATTCAACTCAAGCTCCTGATGGTGCAAACGCCCCCTGCATGTGGCGAGATGTGGCACCCTCAGGGGTGATCACCGAAACCCATCTTTGCCAGAGGGGAGCCTTTTGAAAATGCACGAAGCGACTAGACTCTGGAACAACTGACTCATGGTTCGCGTTAGACAAGTTCTGGAATTCACCGGAGGGTGCATAGTATCGTCATTGCAGCTTGTGACGCAGTTTGTGGGGCATCTTGGCAAGAAGTGATGTTGCATAATGGCCATTACCAGCTCATCATCTGAAGCTTGACTGCCGATTTGATTCCCACTGCCCAGTTTTGTTTGCTTCTTGCTTGGTTTTGGGGTCCGGACACTGCAGAGCAGAGCTATGAAACACATCCATTTCTTGTCAAGGCGCACTCTTTGCAGTACAGTCCTCCGTCACTGATGTCCTGAGGGAGCTTCTGTCGTTCCCAACTTGGGCAGTTCAGAACATAGTCGCACAAACCACACATCTGGATCTCAGAGATGTGTCATGCCATGTCGGTGCAGTCAAATCCGAAGCAAAGCCCAATCCGACAAATCCAGCTTGCTGCAGTTTTTCTCAGATTGGAAAGGAAACGCCAACCTACCTCGGCCTTCCTCTGCCTTGCATCTCCTCAAGGCTAACAGACTCATTGGCTGACAGCTTTTTATGAGTCTTTCTGTCAGTTGCCCAGCATGCAGGAATGTGTGCAACGATCTGTCATAGAAATAGGTAGAAGATGGAAATGTTGATGGGGCGCAAAACCTCTGGCGCACATCTGTGTCGTGTTGCTAGCCAACAAGCATCCACAAACTATCATCGGAGAATGCTCCTGTCGGTCACACGGTCCTTGAAGATCTCGCGATTGGCTGCACCACAATCTTGACAAAGGCCTGTGTGTCCATCATCCGCTGTCATGCTGGCTGATGATCGGAAACTGAACCTGGCAGAGGGATGGTCACGTCACAGCGCCGGAGCCCATCCCCCATTCCCGATGGGCCTGGGAACCGGTCATGATCTTGACGACAGGCTCGTTACGACATCCGGTAAAGCATGAAGCGAGGCCGAGTAAAAAACAGCTGCGGGCAGAACAAGCCATCGAAGGAATCAAGCTGCACCCCCTGCTGCTCCAAGCTCCAGGCCGCCCTCCGCGGTCCAAACCGGATACGTGTTGCTGCTACTCTCAAGGCTGAAAAAGCAGGGGTTGAAGTGCAAGCTGGACTCAGCTAGATCTGGGATGCGTTGCTGCGATCAGGCTTTGCTGAAAGCTTGCTTACTAGAGGGATGATCATGCGAGGAATTGCAATAACACTTGCACGCGTGGCCCTTGTGTTAAGACACCTACTATTGCCTCCGAATGGTCCTGGGTTGGTGGTTGCACATCCTCTTGGCTGACTCGCTAAGCTGTGGAGCACACAGGACTGCGGGACTGGTTCTTGAGCCTCGCCGCGACGTGGCCAGCACTGTCAATGGGCTCGACACTACAGGTCATGATAGCCCTGTTTACGCTCTCGCAACTCGGACATGCCTGACGAGGTCTCTGGTGCTGTGTGCTTTGACGAGTCGGGACTTGCAGCTGACAATCAGTTAAGCACCACAAGGGAGCAATGAACAATGCAAAAAGCTCGCTGGCCGCTGAATTCGTTACACGACTACTGACAATCAGCGCATCTGCGGGTGAAATTATGGCTTCCCTTTGGGAAGCCAGCTGAAGGTGCCTGCTAGTCGAAGCTACGAGTGTAAATGATTACATATTCAGGATAGATCTGTGCCTCATCAAACACGACAAACTCTCTGTACGTGTCAACAGCCGCTTCGCGATCCCCTAGCACAGATAGGAATTTTCCTGTCCGGAGAGCATCGTCAATCCTGGGAATGTTTGACTCAGTGATGTAAAACATGTTGCCCAGCAATGTGCGGCAAAGCAGCAATGCCAATTTGCCGGCAAAGAGACCACTTGGATCTTCCGTAGCATATTCATCACTTTTGCTTGAAGCTTCTGCCATGTATGCCCCGGCTCCAAACATGGTGCCCACGTTAGAGCCCACACGGCCCATATCAAAGCCATTCTCTCCAATGCCCAAGGCACCTCCGGGGCTGGAGCCATGAAAGAGGTAAGCTTCATTGAGATCCGTTGTCAATTCCTTTAGGAACAATGGCAGATCTCCGTCCTGTGAAGTTTTGAAGGCACCACTTCCTGGCATCTCTTTGATCAGCTGGGGTCGGCCTCGAGTGCACATTTCTGCTCGTTTCTGCTCAAAACGCATCCACATTTTGCTGTCTTCCATGCGAATGACCTGGCTCACCACCAGTCTGGTGGGCATCCCGCCACTCCTTCGATCTCTTGTGGCCTTGTCCTTGAATGTCACATCCAGTAGTGTCTGCATCTTCTGCGTCTCCTCAACAGACAAATTGATCTTCTCGTCAAAGTGCTTGCTCAAATCTTGGTTCTTCCAATATGAGGGAACACCAATAGGGACCTCAACTGGTGGTCCAACATTCAATGTTTCCTTGCCCTCCTCCCAGGCAGCACTCACACCTTGACGGCTTGGCTGTTGTGTCTCACGTTTGACTCCTCGAAATGCTCGAGACGCTGCATCTGTGCGCTTGGAACGGGTGTCTCTGGGCTCCATGTTCCATCCCTCTGCGCCCTCATGTTTGTGAGAGAAATGCTTCAGCACCTCCCACCGAGCTTTTTTGCATTGAGAAAAGAAGTAGTACCTGTACGGCACACTCATCAAGCAAATCGTGCAAATCAAATAAACCCAATAGTGCATCCACCAAGGTCTGGCGTCGCTGTCATCGGTGTTCTCTCGAAGAACCACCATGATGTGGGTTCTGTACCCGCCGAAATCGATCAAATTAGCGGAAGACTTGTCCTGATGTGTGTCACGGGTGTTCTCCGTGTAAAACGCCTCTCGTGTCGCATTCAATCGCTGCTCTTCTTGGTCATCAAAGGGATGATATTCCAGTGGCATTTCACATAGCAAGAAGATTCGGAAGGACTTGGGATTGGCCTTATTGGCCTCTAGGTCCTGGTTGTCGCCATCATACACCAAGTGGAACATGGCAATCATTTGTTCAGGTGAAAGTGTCTCGTCCACAAAACCATTGATGTCATAGTGGGCCTCGGCACGATGAGTGTTCACCCTTCTTCTTTCAACATTCTTATCTCGCTTTCCCTTCTCCTCCCAATGGTAGTTCTGGATCGTCCACCTGATCTGGGGCTTTGCTGCTTGCACCTCCTTCACGTATGATTGAAACTCTGTTTCGCTGAAGATGTAGGAAAGATACTTGGAGGTCTTGCTTCTGCAAAGCGCTTCCAGGAGATGTGACAAATAAAGGAGCACACCAACTATCACCATTACGAGCCCGTCTTCATCTGGAATGAGTCCAGCCCAGAGCATTAAAGCTCCAAACAGCAGCATTCCAAAACCAATCACGCCTGCAATCGCGCTGCAAACGGTGATTACGCTCAACTTTTCCTGCTCAGCGCCTTCCATCCTGCTGAAGCTACTTAAACTTGAAATGTCTCCTAAACTTCAGTATTCGAGCCGAAAGGGCTTGAGCCGTAGCCAGTTTCGGTTTTGCGAAAGGATGCAGCTCGGGTCTTTGGCACCAAAGCCGTCACTTTTGGCTTGGACAGTGAATCATGCCGAGACTGCTTCAGCTTGTGCAGGCCAATAGACACCATTGGAGCGCACGAGCTGAGGAAGCTCTAAGCCTCAGGTGTCACTTGGACTGAGGCTCACCGGCTCAGAAACGAGAAGCTTTGAGCTCTGAGTGTGGCTAAGGCTGGAACAAGCGGCGGGAACTGTGGCATCGCCGGCCTATGAGGAAGCAACGCTTGAGGTAAAACATCTCTGTGTGGCATGATCACAGTTAGCCCAACCTAGCCTCTGCTGTGTGGACGAACAAATTGCCACGCAGGTCGAGCAAACATACCTATCATCAATACCATGAATCATCAATATTCTATCGTCTGCTTGTCTCGACTCAGCACTGCACGCCAAACTGTCAGCCACAATTTTTCCACTTGCAAGACTGAGAGATTGCAGGTGGAGAGCTGCATGTCTTGAAAGCATGCCGGCATCGCCGCGCCTCCTGTTTTCAGCAGGCGGGCAAGGACGTTAACGAGACATAACGAAACTAATCGTCGAGGTCGACATCGCTGGCTGGTGGCATAGGTTGATCTGCAGGCTCTTCCCTGGTGGCTCCCTTACGGCGCTCTGCTCTCTCCTGTAGGCGCAGACGGACGGAGCTCCAGCGTGGAGTGCACTCCGCCGTGGGCTCTCCGCCCTTGCTTAGAAGCCGGCCAAACTGGGGCCCTGCAGCTAAGGAGCCATTTGCTAAATGCATGCAAAGCTCCCCAAGTTGACGGCGAGTAGATTCGAGCTTCTGTTCACGAGACTCCGAGCCGCTGAGAACTTCCAACGCGCTGCCTTCAACTGCACCCCCGTTCTGCACAGTGATGCCAATCACGGTTTTCATGATGGCGCTGTTCAGTTTGGCCCATTGAACTACCGATGTCTGCTTCGGCTTCTCACCAGGTTTGAGGCCTAGGTTGACGTCTTGCTGGCGAGAGGCATACAATGCCCCAAAAGCCCTGCAACCTTGCGCCAGAACATCGGGTTCTCTGTCTGCAGACTGCTCCATGGCATTGTAAATGACTTCGGCTGTTTGGGGTAGGCCTTTTTTAAAATCCTCTCGGAGTGAATCCTCACTCGCACAGTTGGCCAAGGCTGCGAGCAGCTCCCTTGTGGTTGCCGGCTTGCTGGCGTATGCTATGAGGCTGCTGAGCAAGACCGGGCCTGCACGTGCTCTAGCAGCATGTGCACAGGAAGCAGGCGTGCCGTAAGTCAGGCAGCGAAGTGCAATGCCGGCAGCTGTGACCATGTCCAAGTTCTTGGAGTGTTCAAAAAGTGCGCGCAGGGGCACCGCAACACCCGCTGCTCTCCCAAATGCCAGACGCCATCGCTCGCCACTGATTCCACCGGGGTTCTGCCCGTGGCCATCGCTGCACACGCATGTGATTATGACCAGAAGCATTCCAACTGAGTGGGAATCCTTGTGGCGCACCTCGCCAAGTCGAACCAAATCGCCGGCGACCAGGGCCAGTCGATCTGCCGCGGTACTGACGCCACTCCACAAGCCCCTGAGCTTCGGAGCAAGCACATAAACAGCTTCCAAAGATGCCACGACCACCTCAGCATCGCGTGGCAGAGATGCTCCTGCGGAGAGGGCCGCGATACCGACTTCGGGAGAAACCAAGTCGGGCTCCCGAAGCATTGTCCTGCCTATGACACGGCAAAGTGCGAGGGCAACGGAACGGCTTTCCGGAAATCGCTGATGGGCCAAGCTGACGGACCGAAGCAAACCATCTCGTACCAAGGCCTTCAAGCTCACGCTCGTGACCTCCATGGCACTCTCCAATGCCCGTGCCCCGGCTCCCTGGATTTTACGATCCTTGGCGTAAACATCCATGGTCGTAGTAATATCCCGGAAAGCAATTGGCACCATGCCTTCCTGCTCCGACTCTGGCTCAATAGCATCGGTTGGAGAAGGTTCCTTCACCAGAATCGTGCCACCTAAGCCTCCCTTGGCTGCGGCGTTATATGTGGTGCTCAGGGCCAGAAGAGCTCTGGGCACGAGTCGAGGCTCAGCCTTAAAGCACCGAAGCGCAAACTTAGCTGCTTCGGTCTGTGCTCGCAGATTCTGAGTCGAGGCCGCCAACACAATGATCTGCAGGCCATGCTCCGTGGTGAGAGGATAAACATCAGGTTCTTTCATGAGGGTCAAGGCGAAGTCGACGTGTGTGTTCGTGAGACGCCTGACGTTGTCCGGTGTTATGGCCAGAGCAATGCTTGCGAGCAGTCGGGTGGGCAGCTCTGGTGTGGCTGTCCGCAGCGCCCGATCTTCCAGATGGATTTTCATGAGATCCGTTACGGAATCAAAAACAGGTCTAGCCAGACTGTCAGCTTTGAAATTGTCTTCATGCCGGAGCATGGACATTAAGGCCTCCAAGGACCACAGGTGAATGTGGGCACAAAGTGGGAAAAAGTGAAGAATGTCGGTTATGATGCCAACATGTTTCCAGGCATCGCCTGTCGCAACCACCTTTTCGGAAAGGAGCGCCACCGCAACGACGTAGTCCAAAGCGAGCTTCGCCGTGTCAGGGTCGCCGAGCTGTCCATCCTGACGTTTCTGCAGCAAGACCTCGCAAATGTGGTCGACTGCCTTAAGGCCCTGAGTGTGCAAGTCCTCGATTTTCGGGATTTCCAATGGGGGATTGCGAGTCATGCAAGCTCCCGCCATGAAGCGAGCAGAAGGGTCAATGGGAGCTTTGGCTTTCGGCTGTCGTTCCGTTATGCCAGCACCTGTCAGTAAAGAGCCGAAGTAGCCCTCCTCTTCGTACTCTTCCTCATCTTCCTCCTCTGACTCGAACTCTTGCTGCTCTTGCTCTTCTTCTGGTTCTCGTCGAGGCGATGCGGTAAGCTCTCTATCCGAACTGCCGAAGAAATCGACGGCAGATCGACTCGCTTCACCTGCAAAGGCCGCAAAGGCCGGCTTGACGTAACTGCCCGGATACTCATCTTCCGAAACATCAGGGGGCTCATCCAGAGCAGGGGAGTGCTGGGTGTCTCGCGTATCAAATCCGGAAAAGGCGGCAATCGCGGGCGGCTGCCACGGTTTCCCTACCTGTGGTGCCAAAGGCCTTCCTCGTACGTCAACTGCCTCCCAGACAGGATCATCAAGCTCGTCAGCATCGTCAAGTTGAGGTTGGGAACCCCCACGTGTCTCGAATCCACGATCCCGATATCCCGCGAAGAATCCGCCTGCCGGAGGGATCGGGGAGCCTGGGGAGCGCGGTGAGGGTCCGGGCTCTGGCTCTCGGATTGGACTTCGCTCAGTTCGCTCAGGGCCGGTCAAAGCGGACCTGTGCTTGGGCGAGTCCAGGTTTTCGATGGCCAGAGCTTCGGCTGGAGATGGCCAACCAAGCTCTGCTGCCTGATATGCCACTCGGCCGTGATACTCCCGTGATGCAGGCAGCTCGAGCCGATACCGCGACATAGGACCTGCACCCTCGGGTGCAAGTTCGGGCATCATGTGGCGCATTGCCGGGTACCGGTTTGAGGTGACCCGGGAAGCGGCGATGAGCTCATCTTCGGCAGCGGGATACGGAATAGGATCACCCTCCAGTTTGAAGTCATCAACTTCCTCCGGCTGCAAGATCTTGTCTCTCCTGTTCCAGAAGGCTCTCTCCTTCTCTAGCTCCAGCTCCAGCCGAGCCTCATCTGCTAGCCTTTGCTGCTCGTGGATCAAGCGCTGCTGCCTCACCAACTCGTCCTGGAGTTCTGGCTCATTCTGAGCCAAGAATTTTACCTCAGCCAAGTTCTCTGCTTCATCCATCTTCCTCTCCAGCTCACGCACTTCATTCACCATCCGCGAGCCTGTAGTCCTAAGATGATTCAGCGTCATGTCCATGCCGTCCTTCGCAAGCATGACTTCCTCTTTGGTCATGCGGGTATGAACGGATGGACCTTCTTCTCGGATGATCTCCTTCACAGCCTCGTAGGCCCAATCCCCATCTGTGAAGTCCTTGCTTGGCTCTGGAGGCGGCTTCGCTCGGGGTGACAGCACACCTGGGACGCCACAGTAAGGAAAAGGCAGCCCTCCGGGAGGTGGGAACTCCGGTGGTGTGAGTTCTGGCACTGTGCCTGGCTCCTGCACTGGAGTCGATGCACCTGCACACGGGACCTGCTGCAAAATTCGCTTCGTACTCTCCGCTCGCTCCATCTGTTCCTTGACTGCTGCATATCGGGACTGGAGGTGCTTGAACTGTGCAAGCTTCGTCAAGGGATCCCACTGGTCAGCATTTCTAAGCGCGGCGGAGTCACCAAAAGCCTGTGAAACGGCGGATGGCAATTGTTTCGTGGGAGGTCTGTGCCTGGAACCTGACACAGCAGCCACGTGCGCCAGCGGGAACTCCGCCTTGAGGCTGGAGGCTTCATCTTGAAGCTGCGCCAGTAGCTCGTCGATTTTGTACTGTGGCAGCTCCAGTTCAATCTCCACGTCCCGAGGTCCGTCATCGGAGTCGCTCTCGTCGATGGCGGAGTTCCGAGTCGGTGCAGGCAGTGCCGGTGTGGCCGGTGTCGGCTTGGGTTCTGCCATCCCTGGCCTCCAAAAGCCCCACTAGGAGTGGCCACATTGCAGACCCTCAAGCAGCCTTAGTTCACTCGTCGCTGGCTCCATCGGGCGACGATGTAATTGTGACACTAGTGACCGTAGCTTTTGAAGCAAACTCAAGATTATCCTCCCCCTCCTCCCACCGTCAATTGTGAGTATCTTGGCGAGCTGGCAACTTGTAAGTAAGTCTATTCTGGATCACAGCATCAAGGGAATTAGTGTTCTCTTTATGTTCGAATGCCTGTAAAGTGACTAAATCATATCAAGTGCAGCAAAATCGACATCGATCTCGCATACTAAGCACGCACAGAAAAAAAGTGAAGCAACGACTCTCGGCTCTCGGCTCGGGACTGCGCAAACAGTACATTGAAATTCCTCGTGACTCGGAGACCAACCCCTGCCCGAAAACCCAAGGCCCTCATCCCTTTGAGAGCGGCACCGAAACGCCGCGAAGAGGCACCCTCACCAACACCTGCTATGAAGAGCATGTGGATCTGTCACGCTAATAGCCGGTCAAGTAATCAAGCTACTGGCTCCTCCATTTCAATGGCATAACTCTGCCTTTCCTGCGCATTCTGTGCGCGGCTGCTGTAGAAGATCCAGCATTCACGAAAACATGGCAGCAAGTGCATTCGATAGCAAATGCAGCCTGGCTGCTCACTGCAGCAGCACCGCTAACAATGACGACATCATGCCGGCAGGACCTCAAACGGCATCTCACTGAGCTTGTCGAGGCCGATTGTGGCAAGCCTGAATTGAATACAGTTCGTCCACACGGAAGCATTGGCAGACAAAGGGGCCAAAGCAATTCGAACAAGACTCTCTTCTTCTCTGTATCCTTGTTCAGAATACAGCACAGAGGTTTAAGCTGTGCACATCGGCTGCAGCACTGGCTCTTCGAGTTGCCTGGCGACAGGGTCAATCACAGGTCGTTCGGAAAAAGACATGACGGCTGCAACTTCGTTGCTATGTATGCTTCTCTCGACCCAGCATTCCATAGCTACGGCAGCCCCCACCGAAATGCCGGAGCATCTTACTCAACTTTGGGAAGAATATCGTGAATGTCAAAGTGCCGTCGATGACGCAGCCAATTCGCAGCCAGCCTCCACAGCTCCAAAAGGCGAGCCAGTAGTCGTCTGTACAAGTCGCAATCCTGTGGCAATGGCTTGGAGTACACTTGTGGCCTCTGCCGCGGCGACAGACTGCTCAGCCGTTTCCTACTACCGCTTAGGAGCTTCCTTTTCGAATTGCAGCAATCGGCTCAGATGAGTCGACAGGTCACGACTCTGTCGACCCGTCTCACACTCGGAAAAACCTGCTGCGTGACACCTCCGCTAAGCGGAGGGTTTCACGGCCTGACTGATAAGCTGAAGGAGATCTACATGGAAAATTATGTTAATGGGCAGCCTGACCAAGTTGAACCCGACCTCAGCTCAAGCATGCCTGTAGATAAGACGAATTGTGGGCGCTGCCGAAGGCCAAGTAGTGGCCATAGGTTCGGACAAGCTGCGTAAAGGAGGATGGGCCACGGCACCTCCATGGAATGTCACTGCGACAGAAGTGACAGATTGATTGTGCCCACACTACAATCCTGCTGACCAATGAAAATGACGAAGTACCAGCTGCAGTACTGCAATACCAAAACATGTTGCAGAGGCTCTGCCTGATCTGCTCCTGTAGACCGAACGAGCAAGCGCAGCGCAGAGAGTGGGTTCGAGGAAGCATCGGCTTGGAAACCCCATTCCGACAGAAGGGCCTCAGTCCATGCACCCGGTTCACTGGGCGAGAACTCCATCTCATCTAGTCGAGCGCGGCAGCAGAGCTCCCACCCGCTCTCACATCGTTGTCTGAATTCCTCTCCGAGCGGCCACGTCCTCCTCGGCCTTAATGCCTGGGGAAGATGCCCGCTGTTCCCTTTCCTAGCGTAGCTTCTCTGCCAGATCAAAAAAGTTTGTATCGTCCAAAGCGCCTGTAAAGCAAACACCCGCAGGTTGCTGCACTCCACCAACATTGCGGGCTTCCCGACCTTTGCCACCAAGAGGGTCCTTGGCTGTGTCAAACCTTGGAACGTCCTGACTACTTATTCGGCGTCTGCACGCCGGAGCAACCCGAAATCTTGTCTAGGGGAGCACCCCCCACACAGGCACAACATGCAGCTGTGGCGCATTAGCTGGTCTTGGTGTTGCTAGCACGTTTGGCCCCGAGGAGCAAGGTCCCAAGCAGCCAGTCTCCTGGATGAAACCGTGACACAGTGACACAAAGGCTGCGCTCAAAGGAACGGTGGCCGGACGACCCCATGCAACAGATCGTAGCTTCTTTGACCGTAGCCACCAACCCCAACTATCAAGTGCTCATGTCTAACCAACCACCTGCACACACATCGCCTTGACCTGCACACCCTCCGGCGCCGCACTGCGGAGCAGCTGCAAACAGCCTCTGACTTTACTGAGTTTGCACTTTGAAACGCCCAAGCGAAGCTCCGCGAGTGGCCTTCTGCTCCGTCATTCCTACAGGAGGGCCCCGTGCAGACGTAGACAGTTCCTGAAGCGTGTCGAAGCGCCCCGACTCCGAGCTTGAAGAACAAAGAAGAAAGCGACACGTGACAGCTTCAAGGCTACGCTTGCGCTGGGCGCTGGGGTCCAAGAGGCCACCTTTCTGGTCTCCGCTTGCACGAAGCGCCAACTTCGACCTACCAACCCTTAGTCCAGTGTGACGTGCTGGCTTTGCACACTTGGCAAGCTGTGCGGCTGAAACAGCACATTGCAACCAAGTGGCTGGTGCGCACTGGCTGCGAGCGGCCAAAATGCATAAACCATGGAGACAGGGCCCAGCAGCACCACCTGCTCTACTGCAGGTGTTGCAGACCCTGCACATTAAATGAACAAAGTTGTGGCAGAATTGTTGCAGTCTTGCTGGCTTCATGCCCGGACCCAGGCAACTAAATCTCTCTGCAAGCAGAGGCACTGCAACTGCAAGTAGAGCCGGAAGCAACGTCTTTCGCATGGCTCAGGTCGGATTCTTTGATTTGGGCTGCTGCTGTAGCATGCCTTGCAAATAGCTTTAGATGACGGTAGGGCCTGCCCGGCTGGCCGTTGCCAAGCAATTAGCAAGCACTGAGTTGCAGTGTTCGAACGAGCACCGGATCTGACAAGGCTCGTCCTGGCGAAAGCATTGTCTAGCAAACTGAGCCCGCTTGAGTCAAGCGTGGCCTTGTTTGCCTTGATTGGGTCTTGATTAGGAGAAGCCACAGATGCATCACAATATGCGAGCGGCCTGAAGAAGGGCGATTCGACAACAAAACATCACGAACTGAGCGTTGCTACAAGCACTACACAGCTGACTAAATTTCGGTCCTGAATTGTCCTGAATTGGAACCACATCTATCCAGAGTTGGTATTCACAGGCCTGTCCCGTAAACGGTGGATGACACTACTTTTCTGCTCGTTTCACTCAGAACACCATTGACGAACTCTCGGTTGCGCAGTGCTCCGCAGTTTCAGGCTTTTTGGGTTCACTGACGAGAAGCTGAAGGCAGCACCCTCACCTGCTTTAAAGCAGGTTTTAGGGTCCAATTCCTTGAAGAGCTCTGAGCCAAGCTGCTCTGCAGCTGTCAGATCTTTGACTTAACGTCTGGGCGTTGTCTGGACAGTGGCGACAACAGTAGTAGAGGCATTGCAGGCGAAACCGCAAAATGCACCATTCTTTCGTTCATTGGCTCGCACAGCCTGCTGCCCAGACTTCTGCACAGTTCCAACGACGTCGGTAGGAGCGGATGGGCGTACGGTGTACTTCATAACAAGTTCTGCTCTTTCTGCTTCAGCCAGACCTGTGATTGCTCCAAAGCCGCAGTCCCACCGAGATGTTCATTAAGAGCAGTCATTGGGTTTCCAGAACCTCTCCCGCAGCGGCAGCTGCTTCACTTCGTCGGCCTATGTCAGACACTTCGACCTCGTAGCTCCTGAATTGCAGCGCCTGCGATTCCGTGAATTCCTCATCATCAGGGTACTCGTCCATGCTGTTCTGAATTTCAGTACGGACTTGTGAGAACCTTTCCTTTGATGGCGCACAGGTGCAGCAGTGCAGCACTGAATGCAACGTGGGAAAACTGTGACTCTTCCAGCCCAGTCACATCCAGTTCGTCTGATAGCTCCACAAAGCATCGCCTCATTAACGAGTTGGTCACCCGGATCTGCTCCTTGCAGTCCTGACAGGTACCAGTATGAACAACTCTGGCAACTTGATGGGAAAGCAAACATGTCTGGAAATGGGGGCAAAGAGGGGAGCAAGTCAGCAAGGCGGAAGGGGACATCTGCCTCATGATGTGGCAGGACCGTGCGGGACTCATGCTGCATCAGTTTCCACTCCGTGCCTTCACGGTGGCAGGATTAGAGCCTCGCATATTGAGGACCATATTCACGAGGTCCGTGAACGTGATGTTTCCAGATTGCTTGCTTGAGTCCTCCCATACCAAGTCCAGCATGTCAGCAAAGACCTGCGCACCAACACGCTCCTTTGAACCGCGCTATGCATGACTTAGTAATAACGCCTACGATACATAATATGTATGTGTATATATATATATATATATATATATATATATATATCACCATGCTAAGTCACATCCACGTTCACGCCAGCATCCTGCATGACCCGCACCACCGCGGGCTCCATGACCAGGTTCTGGAAGTCTTGCCTGTCTTAAGTATTTCTGCTTCATACAGATTGTGTTCATGAACTGACGTGCAAGTGATAGCTACCACCCGGAAGAAGCATCATTCCCAGCCAAGACACTGATTTAAAGCCATGTCCTACAAGCCAGCTGAGTGACTTGCTATGACTGATTGCACTGGCTCTCTCCAAGTTGGATGCCGCACAGTTTCTCATGTGCCCTGGCATCTTACATAGGCTTGATGTTGCCTTGATGCTGAAATTCTTTAGAATGCGGAGATCTGCGGAGGAAGAAGTCGTGTCGAGGAGAAAGGTTG